CCCGTCAATGGACACAGCTCTTTTCTGCCTCTCTCTCTCTGTTTCTCTCTCTCTCTCTCTCTCTGTTTCTCTCTCTCTCTCTCTCTCTCTCTCTCGCTCTCTAATCAGATGTTATTGATCTGTCGGATGTTTATGAGCAGGTTAGATATAAAATAATCCACTCACATAAGAGAGAACAACGTCAATATAAAAGAACAGGAGTTTCCAAAACTGACAGAGAAAACGGGACTCCTAACAACCACCTGGAAGACCAGGTAGACCACATAGTACATACTGAATAATTCATAGCAGACCTTAATTAATTCATATCAGATACTGAATAGTTCATAGTTGTTATTTAATTCATAGTAGATACTGAATAATAGAAGATACTGAATAGAAGGTACTGAATAAGCAGATGCTGAATAAGTAGATACTGCATAATCCATAGTAGACATCATGCTGCAAAATACAGGGGGTCCTGAGGGGTCTTGGATCCATTAAATAACCCTCTGACTGTCTCGCAGTGTAAAATTCAGGGGGGGGCCTTTATGTTGTTATGCTGTCCAAATCCAGACTCAGTGAAGCTGATTGTTTATCTGCTTCCCCCACAATCAGCTTCTGTCTCTGGTGTTCTTAACTAACTAGAGCTGCAGCACTGCTCTGCCTCAGGGTGGCGCTGTAGCAGAATGGTTCACCCAGTTGGTCCTTCATAGCCTAGAAACTGTAACTCTGTGACTGTTTCAGTAGTCTCTGTTTCAGTAGTGTCTGTGTCGGTAGTGTCTGTTTCGGTAGTGTCTGTTTCGGTAGTGACTGTTACGGTAGTGTCTGTTTCGGTAGTGACTGTTACGGTAGTGTCTGTTTCGGTAGTGACTGTATTGGTAGTGTCTGTTTCGGTAGTGACTGTATTGGTAGTGTCTGTTTCAGTAGTGTCTGTTTCGGTAGTGACTGTTTCGGTAGTGACTTACGGTAGTGTCTGTTTCAGTAGTGTCTGTTTCGGTAGTGACTGTATTGGTAGTGTCTGTTTCAGTAGTGTCTGTTTCGGTAGTGTCTGTTTCGGTAGTGACTGTTACGGTAGTGTCTGTTTCAGTAGTGACTGTATTGGTAGTGTCTGTTTCAGTAGTGTCTGTTTCGGTAGTGTCTGTTTCGGTAGTGACTTACGGTAGTGTCTGTTTCGGTAGTGACTGTATTGGTAGTGTCTGTTTCGGTAGTGACTGTTTCGGTAGTGTCTGTTTCGGTAGCGTCTGTTTCTCTACATATATATATATATATATATGTGTGTGTGTGTGTGTTATATTCCTCCTAATAGAAAGTACTGTATAAGTGCTGATTGCGTGTATATCTCCCTCTCTCTCTCCCTCTCTCTCTCGCCCTCCCTCTCTCTCTCTCGCCCTCCCTCTCTTTCTCTCTCTCTCTCTCTCTCCACTATGTACACTGTGGTCAGTCATGTGAGAGTGTTGTAATTCATGTTAGTTCCTCCTGGACACTGATGTGATGGTCAGTTCAATGTGAGGACAGATACCCACATTCAGTGATTCTGAAAGGATCTGTGAGACTTCAAGCTCCACACACTCCATCACCACCCACTAAACACGGATCTGATTCATCATCATCATCATCATCATCCTCATTAGTAGTAGTAGGTGGAGGAGGAGGAGGAGGAGGAGGAGGAGGAGGAGTATGGACACTCTGATGTGAAAATTGTGGGCCGCTGATAATCATTATTTATGTAAATACCTGCTGATGCTGATACACAAACACAGCAAATTAGAAAATGTAAAAACTGGACTAAATTAACTCGAATTAGCATCACAGACACATATGATTTTTGGAAATGTAGTAAAATTAATAAAAAGCAGACATTTTAGTGCAGCAACTCAGCATCACCTAAACATTCTGCTCTCCCGGAGTTCATAAGATCACTAGTAAACTACACAGAGCGAGATAATTAGAGCAGATAACTAGAGCATGACAACTAGTAAACTACAGAGTAAGACCACTAGAGTAAGACCACTAGAGTAAGACCACTAGTAAACTACAGAGTAAGACCACTAGAGTAAGACCACTAGTAAACTCCTAGACTAAGATCATTAGACTAAGATCACTACTAAACTACAGAGTAAGATCACTAGCAAACTACAAAGTCCCACTCCTGATTCAGCTCTGCTGCTGGTTCTGCTGCTGTGTGAACAGTCAATGTGTTTTACTGCAGGTAGAAATCAAACCTCCAAAATCAGACACTGCAGTAACACTGATGTGGTGGTGGTGTGTTAGTGTGTGTTGTGCTGGTGCGAGTGGATCAGACACAGCAGTGCTGCTGGAGTTTTTAAACACTGTGTCCACTCACTGTCCACTCTATTAGACACTCCTACCTTGTCAGTCCACCTTGTAGATGTAAAGTCAGAGACGATAGCTCATCTGCTGCTGCACGGTTTGTGTTGGTCATCCTCTAGTCCTTCATCAGCGGTCACAGGACGCTGCCCACAGGACGCTGTTGGCTGGATATTTTTGGTTGGTGGACTATTCTAAGTCCAGCAGCGACACTGAGGTGTTTAAAAACTCCAGCAGCACTGCTGTGTCTGATCCACTCAGACCAGCACAACACACACTAACACACCACCACCACGTCAGTGTTACTGCAGTGCTGAGAATGACCCACCACCCAAATAGTACCTGCTCTGTGAGGGTCCATGGGGGTCCTGACCACTGAAGAACAGGGTAAAAGGGGGCTAACAAAGTATCAGAGAAACAGATGGACTACAGTCTGTAACTGTAGAGCTACAGTGGGACTGTATGGTATAGTGATATGTGTATAATGTTCTCTTCAGGCCCCTCAGCTCAGCTGGTTCCACATTTTTTGCTCCAACCAAACGTGCATCACATTAAGGGTTTAGCGCCCTCATGTGGTGACCAGATGCGATGAGAGATGTTCCCCTTCTTCAGGATCACAGATCTTAAATAAACAGACAGGAGCCACAGCTGAGTAATCAAACCTGTTTAATCAGTACAAATCTGTGCAATATTCCCTGTAAACGAGGCGCAGCAGGACGTCCTGCAGCGATACCTGAATTCAACAACAAACACTTTCAGAGGATTGGTGGAAAAATAGAAGCTTTAGCGAAGAAGAAACGTATGAAAAACAAGAAACATCACAAACTGTCCTCAGTCGGAGGAAGAGAGGATTCAGAGAGTCAGCTCGGCCCAAACGCCGTACAGTCCCGCTCGGAATGTCAACACAACGTCTAGAACAATCCCACTCAGACGCTCTGGAGAACATTTCAGAACATCGCAAACGATCCGGCATGTATTCGGTTCCGTGTTCATTCGGCTCATTAGGGTTTTATTTGTTTGTTTGTTTTAGAACGTTCTACGGAAGCTCATTTCCACCACTGGAGAACAATAAATAACCATTCAGTAAATCATAATAATGAGGTCGTTTTACATAATTATGATTTAATATCTTATAATAATGAGATAATTATGACTTACTATCTCATAATTATGAGATAATTATGACTTACTATCTCATAATTATGACTTACTATCTCATAATAGTTAGACTTAATCTCAATCATGGCATAATATCTCCTAATGACTTATTATCTCATAAATTTGATTTAGAATCTCATAATAATGAAATTCAATATCACACCAATGACTTAATATCCCATAAATGATGACTTAACATGTCATAATAATATCTCTCATAATTATGGCTTCACATTTCATAACTTTAACTCTCATAATATGAAGCCATAATTATTACAGACATTATTATGAGTCTTTATAATGAGATAATTAAGGAAAACTGACTCATTATTATGATTTAGTAAATATCTCCAGGGGTGGAAACCAGTTTCCACAGACGCGCCTCTCAGAACATCACCGTCGCTAAAACCTCCTCGCAGTCTGACGCTTGACTGCGGCTCCAGAAGGACGGAGCTCTGAAATGAAGGATCGTCGCCATGTTTTCCTGAATCTGCAGCGATTTATCCGCTTTGTGATCTGAATGTGATTAACTTCACTGCACTAAGCTGAGAAACTACAGCAAGAGCCTGCGGTTCTCAAAGCCTCCACTAGGGGGCAGCACCTCCATCAAAAATTCATTTCTAATGCATCTCTGTTCTAAGTTTCTTTAGCTTTAGCGCTGGAGCTACGAGGCTAACCTAGGAGACAATGAATCTTAAAGGAAATCCATTAGCATTAGCATTAGCATAAAACCCAGTGGAGCTGCTGTGGAATCTCCAACAGACACTAATGACACTGTGCAACACACTGTCATCCATAAACATCTTCACATGTGAGGCTCGATGGACATTAATCGCAGTTAAGCAGACAAAATAATGAGATCAATCAATTATTTTGATCATTTAGCAGCTCGTTATGTATCAATGTGGACTTTTACATGTTCGGTTTTATTTTAATTCCATTTATTATATGTATATCCTCATCTATTGCTTTTACACTGTTTATTTACTACTTTATATTATGTAAATTATTAAAGTGTTTCATCTTGTTAAACTTAAAAAAAGAAAAGTCAATACGTAAATAAAGAGCATATTTTAGGTTCTTTATTTTAGGTGCTCATATTTTAAGAAAGTCCATTTTAGGACCAAATTATAAGAAGATATGTGATTAATCACAATTAACTATACAAAATAATGTGATTGATCATGATTATTATGGACACAGTTTGAAAAGGCTCATCGCCCTCTTTGACGTGTCAAAGTTTCACTATAAACGGACAAACAGAAATCCTCCAAAGTTACTTGGAAAAAATCATTTATCCATTAAAAGTTAAGAGCGTTTTTCCTATAAAGTTACGTTTTTTTGGAGATTTTCTTCGTTTTCTTCTGACAGCAGCGACAAACAGCAGACTATAGCAGACTTATCATACATATACAGTAGAATATCACTGCTGTCGGAACAAAACTGTAACTTTACAGGAGAAGGAAAAAACATACTCTACCTTTAATGTAAGTCAATGGAACCAGAATGTTTTCCAAGTCATTTTGGGTCGTTTCTTTTGGTCCATTCATCATGAGATTTACACACAATGTAAAGGGTAACAGGTATTTTCAAATCAGGTCAAACACTGAAAAACATAAAAACTGGAGATCTTCCGACAGCAGCGATATATGTATATCAGTAGAATACAGTACCTGCAGTTCTCTAAGCCTCCACTAGGTGGCAACAAAAACAGCTCTCTAATCGGTTTATTTGTGAAGCGCTGGATTCACACAATCTATCAGCTACATCAGCCTCGCAGCTCCAGCGATGAACCTAAACAAGCGCATCTCAGACACCGACCGACTTCAGCTGAGCTGATGATCCTCAGACTAACGAGAAAAACTGCCCATTTTAACTTTCACCACATTCCTGCGCCGTTTCCTCTCCTCTGCTGACGTCCACAGGCTGCCGTCTCAGCTCGGCCCTCAGCGCCACGCCTCCCGACTCTCCCGCTGTCCGTCAGGAAGCCTCTTCCGTTCCCTTCTTCCTTCCTCCGTCGCTCTGCTCTCCCTCGCTCTCCCTCTCTCTCTCCTTCAGCACCGTCAGCAGCACCTTCAGCAGCGAGTTCTCCGTCAGCAGTTCCTCTGAAGCGTTAGCTAGCTCCTGCAGCCGGTTCACGGCGTCCGCCAGCTGCCGGCTCTTCTCGCGGTACAGCGTCTCCAGCCGGCCACTCTGAGCCTGCAGCTCGGCATTGTGGGACTGCAGCTCGGCGTTGTGGGAGGTCAGCGCCCGCATGTGCAGCGCTAGCCGGCGGTTTTCCCGCCACAGAGCGGCCAGCTGCTGGGAGAGCCGCTCCCGCGCCTGCTGCAGGGACAGCACCTCCCCCTGCAGTGCGCGCAGCTCCGCCTCCAGCAGGGACTTCGGACCCGCCCCCTGGATGCCGGGGGCGTGGCCTGTGTGCCGCAGGATGAAGCGCAGCAGGTTGGGCACCGTGACTGGGGAGGAGTCTGGAAACTTCACGCTCATCTGCTTCCTGTGAGAACAGAGGATATAAACAAACCTCAAATAAACTCTGATTTATTTACATAATAATAATAATAATAATAATAACAAACTTTATTAAAAAGCATAATATATATTATATTACATACATTAAAATGTAGCTAAAAGTGCTTTACAATTTTATTTGCAAATAAAAGTCAGCATAAGAGAAGACAAAAATGTACAAATTAAAAAATAAGTGTAAAATAAAAATTACTTCTAAATTACTTTTACTAATAAAAATACTTCTAAAAAATAATTCAACAAAAAATAAGTATAAAGATATACGATGATAATAGTGACATCCTCTATGGAGACACACCTCTGCACATTTTAATACACAATTATTGTTTATTAAGTTATTTTATATTTTCCAATTCACCTTTTTTTCATGTGACCAAAAAATTACAAAATTACAGCAATAACAGCCTGCAATTCTCTAATCCTCCAATAGGTGGCAACAAAATCAGACTCAGTTTAACTTGTTTTACACATTATATTCTCTTTGTTTCTGGGTATACTCTGTCCTCACTAGCAGACAGAGCAGGTTGCAAAAAGCTAACAGGCTAATGCTACAATAAAGGACTCCAAGTTTACTCCTTTAATTAAAGTGCAACTCAAAAACTGAGACAGAGTAAAGAAAGTCACCTACAGGCCTGTTATGAGCCAAACGCGTTCATATTTAAACTACAGCGCTGAGCTAACCCCGCCAGCTCGGCGCTAACATAGCGCGCCGCCACGGTGAGCGTACGAGGAGTGTTATTAATGCTTTATAAGCAGGTTTCTACATCGCTCTACAGGCTCTGCTTTATGGCTCTCTGTATCTGACCCCAGACAGTGAGCATGTATCGGTCCACTGGCTTGATAAGGAGGCACCCCACTGACTGTTTCCCACTGCTGGTCCCCCTCGGACCACCCAGATTACTGTCCTGCAGACAAGCTCTACCTAGTTTCTCCTCAAACAGATTTTAAATGTACAGAGACTTTTATTTTAGAAACTAAGACAAACATTACAAACACCTGAGAGAAAAAAAGACCAGGCCTGATATAAAGTGAGTTTATAGGAAACGGTGTTGCTGAAACTGAGCTGGATTAACATCACTTACCAAACTAACTACAGAGTAGAACTAAAGAAATCAGAGATGATCAGTGGAGTTTGGTCTAATACTCTAATTAACCACCGATGTGCCATCAGCGGGCCGACAGCGCCCCCTATCCTCTTACTATCAGAGACTCTCTGTGTAAACACAGTTAATGAGTTTAAATGAAGGTCTGTACATAAATCACTCAAGGCATCATGGGACGCAGGAATAAGGCGAAATAAACAGAGTAAACAGTAACTGTGTGTTAAATGTGCTGTAGTGTGTCTCTGTAGAGGGTGTGTTTACATATTCACACTCAGAACATCAACAACAGCATGGAATGTAACCGGGGGTGCACAAACCTTTGCACAGGCCGTGTGTAGGCGTGTGCACGGAACTGAGACTGAAGGCGTACCTGTGTTTGGGGAAGAAGAGAAAGGAGGGCAGGTGATCCACCATGAACTCCCAGGGCAGGTCGTTAAGGCCGACGTTCACCCTGATAAACAACAACAACAACAACAACAACAACAACAGTTTCTATAAATAATTCAACCAATTTAAACACCATCTTTTAATGAGAAGAGCAGAGTGTAAATCCTGACCTGGCCACTGTGAGGGCGCTGTTTCCCTGAAAGAGTCGAGCCAGCTGCAGGAGAACATGATTCAGAACCGTACAGAACCCACACCAACCTGTGTAGTAGAACAGCAGTACATCCTACAGAGAGAGAGACAGAGAGAGAGAGAGAGAGAGACAGAGAGAGAGAGAGAGTGAGAGAGACAGAGAGAGAGACAGAGAGAGAGAGAGAGAGAGAGAGAGAGAGTCAGAGAGAGAGAGAGACAGAGAGAGACAGAGAGAGAGTGAGAGAGACAGAGAGAGACACAGAGAGAGAGAGAGAGAGAGAGAGAGAGAGAGAGACAGAGAGAGAGAGAGAGAGAGAGAGAGAGAGTCAGAGAGAGAGAGAGACAGAGAGAGACACAGAGAGAGAGAGAGAGAGAGAGAGAGAGAGAGAGAGAGACAGAGAGAGAGAGAGAGAGAGACAGAGAGAGAGAGAGAGAGACAGAGAGACACAGAGAGAGAGAGAGAGAGAGAGACAGAGAGAGAGACAGAGAGAGAGAGAGAGAGAGAGAGAGAGAGTCAGAGAGAGAGAGAGACAGAGAGAGACAGAGAGAGAGTGAGAGAGACAGAGAGAGACACAGAGAGAGAGAGAGAGAGAGAGAGACAGAGAGAGAGAGAGAGAGTGAGAGAGACAGAGAGAGACACAGAGAGAGAGACAGAGAGAGAGAGAGAGACATATGGATCACACACTTCATTATATAATAAAGTACCCAGCAACATCAAACCTGAACAAAACAACATAACTGAAAAACTAAACACATTAGATTTGGCAGTAAAAGGCTCCCAGAATCCCCTGGACTCCCCCATTACTGAGCAGGAACTGAGAGATAAAATATCTCATCTAAAACCTAAAACATCCAGTGGGCCTGACGGCATATTGAACAAAATGATTAAAAACACAAGCATTAAAATTCCAACTGGCCCTTCTCAAACTGTTTAACATGATTCTGAGTGCAGGTTATTTCCCTGACATCTGGAGTCGAGGTCTTATCACGCCCATCTACAGGAGTGGAGATAAATTCGACCCTAATAACTACCGAGGCGTCTGTGTGAACAGTAATCTGGGGAAGGGGCTCTGCAGCGTTATCAATTCCAGACTCATAGACTTCCTTATGAAGCACAGTGTCTTGAGTAAAAGTCAGATTGGATTCATACCAAATCACCGCACATCAGACCATATTTACACCCTACACACCCTAATCGATTTACACGCAAATCAAAATAAAAACAAACTATTCATGTTTCATTGATTTCAAAAAGGCTTTTGATACTATTTGGCACAACGGACTATTTTATAAAGTTCTTAAAGTGGTGTTGGGGGTAAAACATATGACATCATTAAATCCATGTACACAAATGCGGTATAAAAATTGGCACCAAAAGGACGACTTTCCTCTCTCAGGAGCGCGGAGTGAGACAAGGCTGCTGCTCAAGCCCAACTCTATTCAACACTTACAATAATGAACTGGCCACAGCTTTAGAGCGCTCTGCAGCACCTGGTCTCACTCTGCACCACTCAGAAATCAAGTTCCTGCTCTATGCAGATGACCTGGTTCTGCTGTCCCCCACAGAACAGGGCCTACAGCAGAACCTGGACCTGCTGGAGCAGCACTACCAGACCTGGGCCCTGGCAGTAAACCTGAAAAAGACCAAAACATTTTCCAAAAAAGATCCAGATCTCAGGGAAACACATCCAGCTTCACATTAGGAACACTCAAATTAGACAGCTGTAAAGAGTTCAGTTATTCAGGATTGAAGATCAGTTCAACTGGAAACTTCAATCCAGCAGCCAATGAGCTGAGAGAGAAAGCGCGCAGGGCTTTTTACGCAATCAAACCACAAATTCACTTTCAAATACCAATTCAGATCTGGCTCAAGCTGTTCCAATCAGTTACAGAACCGGTTCTCCTGTATGGCAGTGAGGTATGGGGGCCACTCTCAAACCTAAATTTTGACCTCTGGGACAAACACCCAGTAGAAATCCTGCACATCGAATTCTGTAAAAACATCCTGCAAGTTCACAGGAGAGCAACGAACAACGCCTGCAGAGCTGAATTCGGCCAATGTCCACTGCTCAAAATCCAAAAAAGAACCATTAAATATTGCTCTTGCTCTTGTTCTAAAGCTCTATGTTCTAAATGTTAATTCTTCTTGTTCCTTTTGATGATGCTTTGGCAAAACTGTAAATGAATATGGTCATACCAATAAAGCTTATTGAAGTGAACTGAAAATTGAGAGAGAGAGAGAGAGAGAGAGAGAGACAGAGAGAGAGACACTCAGTGGTAGATGTGTAATAAATGTAGTCCATTCTAATAATATTAAATCCTTATTTAAATCATTTTATATAATAATCCATAACATTAAAACTCCTAATTTAAATAAAACATAGAACGTAAAGCGTAAACAGAGGCGCGTCCTCACCCTCTCAGGGTCCATCACTGTGTCCATAAAGGAGCCTGTGGTCACTTCCTGAATGAGGGATTTTGGGGGATGTAGTTCTCTGTGGCCCACCAGGTGTCTGTGGAGGGGGCTGTAGGGGGCGCTGAAGTTCAGGATGAAGCGTTCTGCGGGAGAGAGAGAAGACTGTGTGTTAGGTTCTCAGTGGTGCTCTTGTGTTCTGGTCCACTAGCTAGTCCACGCGAAAGCGCTGCAACAGATAATCAATAATATTCAATAAACCTCAGAATTAAAATATTCAAGTATGTAAATTTGAATAGCTGGTAGTTCGGCTGTTTTTCTGAAACCGTGTTTCCACGCATCGTTTCTATCAGGTCAGCTGGAAGCACAGTTCTCTTCATGAAGGTAGCACAGCCGCTCGGGCACTGCAGACCGGTTGCTATGATACAGTATCTCTAGTGGTTGCTAGATGGCTCCTTTGGTATCCGAGGTGGTTACTAGGATGTTGCTTCATGCTTACTAAGGTGTTCCAGGTAGTTGCTAGGGTGTTGCTAGGTGGTTACTATAATATCCCAGGGAGGTGGCAGGGTGTGGCTAAGCTGTTACTTTGGTATCTCTACTGGTTGTTTGGGTGTTGCTAGGTGGTTGCTATGGTATTTTCGGTAGTGGCTAGGTTGTTGCCAAGTGGTTGCAGTTGTATCCCAGGTAGTTACTAGGCACTTGCTATGGTATCCAAGGTGGTTGCTAGGGTGTTGCTTAGTGAATGGTATGATTTCAAAAGAAGTTATTGTAATATCCAAGGGAGGTAGGGTGTTTCTAGGCAGTTACTATGGTATCTCTGCTGGTTGTTTGGGTGTTGCTAACTTGTTGCTATGGTATCTCTGCTGGTTGTTGGGGTGTTGCTAACTTGTTGCTATGGTATCTCTGCTGGTTGTTGGGGTGTTGCTAACTTGTTGCTATGGTATCTCTGCTGGTTGTTTGGGTGTTGCTAAGTGATTGCAATTTTATTCCAGGTGGTTACTAGGCACTTGCTACGGTGTCCAGTTTGGTTGCTAGGGTGTTGCTCAGTGATTGTTATGATTTCCGAAGCGGTTGCTAAGGTGTTGCTAACCGGTTACTATGGTATCCCAGGAAGTTGCTAGGGTGTTGCTAACTGGTTGCTATGCTATCTCTTTTGGTTTGGTTGCTATGGGTTCCCAGATGGTTGCTAGGGTATAGGTAGGTGATTGCTATGGTATCCCAGGTGGCTGCTAGGGTGCTGCTAACTGGTTACTATAGTATCTCTGATGGTTGCCGGAACGCTAAACACCAGTGCAGGGGACTAAAGTGGTTTGTAGGTTGTTGCTGTGTGTTTTCTATGGTAGCTCTGGTGGTTGCTAGGTTGTTGGTATGGTATCTAAGGTGGTTGCTAGGATGTTGCTAGGCAGTTGCTATGGTATACACATGGACGCTAGGATGCTGTAGGATCTAGCTTCTCTAGAACGGATCGTTTCACACCAAACGACGCTGAATGACTCTGTTTACATCTCAACCCCTTAATTATGCAGGAATTTTGATAAATCAAAGAAATTCTCCTTTGACGAAGAACAGAATTGTTTCTCTTTGTTCTTTGTTGTCACCGTCGTGTCTGCGCGTACCTAGTGAGTCTTTCCTGGCGTTCTCCAGGACGTAGTGCGTTTCATCCCTCAGGTTAACGATGGTGGTGAAGGTGTCTGTGCTGCGGTTGCTCAGCGCTCCGAGCCTTTCTGCCAGAGGCCAGGACAGGTGCGAGTCCAGCAGGTAAAACCGCAGCGTCTTATTGGTCCGGCAGCGCAGACCTGATACTGCGTCCACCACCGGGAGGCAGTGTGGCCCTGCCCACGCTGGGGTCCGGGCATCTGCAGGGAAGGTCCGGCAGCAGGCGCTGTAGTGGCTGAAGGGGCTGTAGGTGTTCTGCACATTGGTGCAGGTAGGGGGCGCTGGAACCACAGCGTTTCTCAAATATGAGTCCAGAACCGCCTCCAGCTCCATCACTGAGCAGTGAGAACGCGGCAGGGTGGGACGTGAGGTAGAACCCGGAGCAAAGCGGTTCACGCACAGCTCGCAGATGCTAGTGTTAGCGCTAGCATTAGCAGACTCGAACCTCCAGCTGGGCAATAGCAGGGACTGGCAGCACCGCGGCCCAGGCAGGGGGGACCCTGAGTGGGGGGCTGAGACCCCACCCTCCGTCTGGAGCTCCGATACACAACATGAGTGATAACGCAGAGCTATGTCCGCTACCTGAGAGAGAGAGAGAGAGAGAGAGAGAGAGAGAGAGAGAGAGAGGGAGGGAGAGAGAGGGAGAGAGAGGGAGAGAGAGAGAGAGAGAGAGAGAGAGAGAGGGAGGGAGAGAGAGGGAGGGAGAGAGAGGGAGAGAGAGAGGGAGAGAGAGAGGGAGAGAGAGGGAGAGAGGGAGAGAAAGGGAGAGAGGGAGAGAAAGGGAGAGAGGGAGAGAAAGGGAGGGAGGGAGGGAGAGAGAGAGAGAGAGAGAGAGAGAGAGAGAGAGAGAGAGAGAGAGAGAGGGAGGGAGAGAGAGACAGAGGTAAATGACAACTGCTCCTGTAGTATATATCAAAGCACAGAAATAATAATAATCCCAGGTTATATTAATCCTGTGCTACAAAACTAACTGTAGAAATAATCCCAGGTTATATTAATGCTGTACTACAAAACAAACTGTAGAAATAATCCCAGGTTATATTAATGCTGTACTACAAAACAAACTGTAGAAATAATCCCAGGTTATATTAATTCTGTGCTACAAAAAAACTAAAAACAATACCAGGTTATATTAATCTCGTGCTATAAAACAAATAATAGAAATAGCCTGAGACTATATTGATCCCATGTTATAAAACAAATTATAGAAATAATCCCATGCTACAAAACAAACTGTTGAAATAATCCCAAATTATATTAATCCAGTGCTACAAAATTAAAATGTAGAAATAATGCCAGAATATATTAATGTTGTGCTATAAAACAAATAATACAAACAACCTGCGGTTATACTGATCCTGTGTTATAAAACAAATTGTAGAAATAATCCCAGGTGATATTAATCCCATACTACAAAACAAACTGAATAAATAATTCCAGGTTATATTTATCCCGTTCTACAAAACAAAGTGTAGAAATGCTCCCAGGTTCTATTAATCCAGTGATCTAATCAAACCACAGAAATAACCAGAAAGAGAGATTAAATTAACAAAGACAGACTGTTTATGATAAATGCATGTATAGATCAGAAAGTGGGCGGGGTTTACCTCAGAGAGCAGGTGATGACTGGCCGTGAGTGGATTGTGTGGGAGGAACGTGAGCAGGGCGGGTCCTTTGTGAAGCTCCGCCTCCAGGGAGTAGCTCTTCGCTCCCTTTGGCTGGATCCAGTGAACGACGCTCTCTCTGTTCTCGTAGACCCAGTTACAGATCTCCTCAGCAGTGAAGTTCCTCCCCGCCCGCGAGAACACCTGACCACACACCACACAGCAGAACCTTCAGCGTCCAGCAGGGGGCAGCACCTTCATCCATCTGTCTGTCTGTCTGTTCATCTATCTATCCGTCTATCTATCTATCTATCTATCTATCTATATATCTATCTGTCTATCTGTCTGTCTGTCTGTCTATCTATCTATCTATCTATCCGTCTATCTATCTATCTATCTATCTATCTGTCTGTCTGTCTATCTATATATCTGTCTGTCTGTCTGTCTGTCTATCTATCTATCTATCTATCTATCTATCCGTCTATCTATCCACCTATCTATCTGTCGATCTATCTATCTATCTATCCATCTATCTATTTATCTGTTTGTCGATCTATCTGTCTGTCCATCCATCTGTCTGTCTGACTGTCTATCTATTTATCTATCCATCTATCTATTTATCTGTCTGTCTGTCTATCTATTTGTCTGTCTGTCTGTCTGTCCGTCCATCCATCCATCCATCCATCCGTCTGTCTATCTGTCTGTCTGTCCATCCATCCGTCTGTCTATCTGTCTGTCTGTCCATCCATCCATCTGTCTATCTATTTATCTATCTGTCTGTCTGTCTATCCATCCGCCCGTCTGTCTGTCTGTCTGTCTGTCTACCTATCTACCTACATATCTATCTATTTATATCCATCTATCTATCCATCTATCCCTCTGTCTGTCTGTCTGTCGTGTCTTTGAAGTGTTATTTCAGTGAGAGTCTAACTCTCCAGATTTAGTCGATGAGCTGAGTGTTTGGTGTCTCAGTGGTGCCTGGTGTCTGAGTGGTGTTTGGTGTCTTGAGTGGTGTTTGGTGTCTGAATGGTGTTTGGTGTCTCAGTGGTGTCTGAGTGGTGTCTGGTGTCTGAGTGGTGTTTGGTGTCTTGAGTGGTGTTTGGTGTCTGAATGGTGTTTGGTGTCTCAGTGGTGTCTGAGTGGTGTTTGGTGTCTGAGTGGTGCCTGAGTGGTGTTTGGTGTCTGAGTGGTGTTTGGTGTCTGAGTGGTGTCTGAGTGGTGTTTGGTGTCTGAGTGGTGTCTGAGTGGCGTCTGAGTGGTGTCTGGTGTCTGAGTGGTGTTTGGTGTCTGAGTGGTGTCTGGTGTCTGAGTGGTGTTTGGTGTCTGGTGTCTGAGTGGTGTCTGGTGTCTGAGTGGTGTCTGGTGTCTGAGTGGTGTTTGGTGTCTGTGTGGTGTCTGGTGTCTGTGTGGTGTCTGGTGTCTGTGTGATGTTTGGTGTCTGGTGTCTGAGTGGTGTCTGGTGTCTGTGTGATGTTTGGTGTCTGAGTGGTGTTTGGTGTCTGAGAGGTGTCTGATGTCTGAGTGGTGTTGGGTGTCTGAGTGGTGTCTGGTGTCTGAGTGGTGTCTGGTGTCTGAGTGGTGTCTGGTGTCTGAGTGGTGTCTGAGTGGTGTTTGGTGTCTGAATGGTGTCTGGTGTCTGAGTGGTGTTTGGTGT